GGAGCCATCCCTTCTGAATATGTTGCATGTTCAGGGGACCGTGTCTGTCCCGTCGCGCCGCCATCCGCGGCGAAACCTCGACAAAACCATGTCGAGAGCGCGTCGAGTCCGTGTCGAGTCGATGTCGAGCGCGTCGAGTCCGCGTCGAGTCCGTGTTGAGTCCGTGTGGAGTCGGTGTCGAATACAGGAGGAGGAGGAGGAGGAGGAGGAGGAACGAGGAGGAGGGGAGGAGGAGGAGGAGGAACGAGGAGGAGGGGATGGAGGAAGAGGAGGGACAGGCGGGGGGGACGAGGGAGGGAGGATGAACGGCGGGAGAGGAGGAGGAGTGAGGAGGAGGAGGAGGAGAAGGAGGAGGAGGAGGAGGAGGAGGAGGACGGGGCTGCAAGAGGAGGAGCCGTGCAGGCCGAGGGTCGCCATCCCCGCCTTTTCGAGCGGCCCCGACAGATGCGCAGAGAGGACCTGGCATCGGAGCGGCTGCGTCAGTCCAGACCTCGCGCCAGCCCGGCGGGCCCCCGAGCGTGCGTGTTGCACGCGCGGATGCGCCTCCCGAGGGCCCCAGCTCGACCCGGGCCTCCAGGCGTCGTGGTGTTCCAACTCCTCCTCCTCCTCCTCCTCCTCCTCCTCCTCCTCCTCCTCCTCCTCCTCCTCCTCCTCCTCCTCCTCCTCCTCCTCCCTCCTCCTCGCCCTCCTCCTCCTCCTCCTCCTCCTCCTCCTCCTCCTCCTCCTCCTCCTCCTCCTCCTCCTCCTCTTCCTCCTCCTTACGGCTCGCGCTGGGCAGACAGCGTGCAGGCGTCGAGCGCCGAAGAGCACGCCCTCCCCGTGAGGCGATCCCCCCGCCGCGAGGACCCCCTTCCGTGCCCGCCACCCCCCTGCCGGGGCCTTCCTCGGCGCACGCTCTGCCCCCACGGGTGGTGGAGAGCTGGCCATCGCTCGGACGTCCATTCCCTGTGCTTTTTCCGGTTTCGTGCGTGGCTTTTTCGCCGAATGATCAAGGATGCTCCTCGATGGCCCTCGCCGAAGGAAAAATGCACACGTCCGAGCGATGCCAAGAGGGCGTGTCATTTAGGCGGGCCGGCGGCGCCCCACCGCCAGCTATCCTTCCAGCGCCAGCCGCACCCGACTTGGGGGGAAACCGGAGAGGCCCCGATGCCGCTGCTCCCCGGACCCCTCCCTGGGGTGCGCTCTGACTAAAGGGGCCCTGGGGCACACAAACAAACACACACACACACAAATAGAAGGCTTCCCCATGTGTTTCAATGTCTGGTTGCTTTTCGTCTTCCCCCCCACTTCCCATAGTTTCGCAGATTTTCCTGGGGATCGACGATGAATTGTGTCTGTGTGTTTTTTCCCTCCCACCCAAGGCGAACCCGGCCGTGGCGACGAGGGCCTCCCACGAGGGCCGGCAAGGCGGCTCCCGCCGTGGCGACGAGGGCCTCCCAAGAGGCCCAACCGGAGGCGAGCACGGAGGAAAGCGGAAGACGAGAAACTGCCAGAAACAGAAACTGTAAAAAATGCCATCAACAGAGAAACTGCTGGTGCTCCGCGCGGACTGCTTGGATCTGCGCTGGACGCCCTTCCCCGGCGCGCGGAGCGCGCCAGGGGCGGCGCCCGAGGCGCCGCCTGGAGGGCCCCCGCGCGGCTCCCAGAACCCCGCGCGGAGCGCCAACAGTCTCGCGCGGCTCCCAGGAAGTGTCGGAAAGCTCGGGTCTGTGGCTAAAACAAGGCTAGGATCGGGATAAATCGCTCCAGAGCGTTCCGGAGCGCTCTCAGAGCGTTCCGGAACGCTCTGGAGCGGCCGCGGCGCCCAATACATCCTCCAAACCCGCCGATGCTCAGAGATTTCGAGTTATCCCGATCCGATGTTGTCCGATCTTCGCGTCGTTTTAGTGGCGCTGCCTCTTCCTCGAGACGGGGCAGCGGCGTCGGCACCCCCGAGATGTCGGCAGCCCGGCCGCCGCTTCTGGGCAGACCAGACGCCCGAGGACCGGGCGCGGCGAGGGGCTCCGCCTGCGGCCGCGCGGGGGCGGGCCGCGCGGGGGCGGGCCGCCCGACGGCGGGCGCCCGACGGAGGGCCCGCGGGCCGCCCGAGGCCCGCCCGAGGCCCGCCCGAGGGCCGCCCGAGGAGGGCTGCCCGAGGAGGGCCGCGCGTGGAGGGCCGCCCGCGCCCTCGCGCGCCGCGGGGGGCGCCCGCGGGCAGGGCCGGAGGGCGGCAGGGGGCGCGGCACCCTCGGAGGCCCGCGCGGGTATTTGTTTGTTTGCTTGCTTGTTCCCCGGGTCCTGTGGCTCCCCATCGTGCTCGAGGGCCCCATGCCAGAAACGGTTTCGAGCACCCGGGAATGGTTTCGAGCACCCGGGAGTGGTGTTTTTTGGCTTGCTTGTTCTCGGGTGCCGTGGCTCCCCATCGTGCTCGAGGGCCCCATCCCGGGAAGGGTCTCGAGCTCCCGGGAGCGCATCGGAGAGGTGCCGAACGAGCATCGCGCCCCAGGGCCCGACACATGTGAGCCCTCCAGCTTCGGTACTTTCCTGGCGCTCGAAATTCTTTCTGGTAGCCACGGCCAAAGCAGGTTGGACCATCATAATTCTTGGGTCGGCGCCCGAGGGCCCACCCGGCGGCGCCTCCCGCGCCGCTCCCTCAGGGGCGCTCCGCGAGTCAGGCGAGGGGGGGTCCAAGGCCGCCCATAAGGGGGGTGCGCACGGGCCTCCGACAGCGCATGCCTCGGCAGCTCGTGTCCTCCGAGGGCAAGCATCCTTGACGCGGGGGGGGGGGGTCCGGAGGTCCATCCGCTACTCTGCTCATGGCCTCCACTGTGGGTGGGAGGCCTGCGAGTTTGACACCACCACCACCAAGAGCACAGGTCACGTCCATCGGGGAGATCGGCGCGAGATCTGCGTGCTGGTAGTCGCACACTTGCCTCCCAGTGGCTGAAACCCCGTCACCACCACCAGGCACCAGCGCCAAGATCGCCAAGGGGGTCATCCTTACTTCGGTGGGGACGACACCTGACTCTGCTCTGGATGGTGGTGCCCAGTGCGCACGCGTGATTAACACAATGTCATTGCCCGCTCACTTCTCGTCCTGCGACGAATCAGGAGCGACATTCCGCCGCGTCGTATGTTCTGAACGCGCCCACATGGACGACGCCGACACCACGGCAGACCCAAGGCATACCCTGCGTCCCGCGCCCAAGTAGACGACGCCAGCACCGCGACAAACCCCACGGCACGCCCTGCACCCGAGGCGACGTTTGCCCTGGTGGCCGCGGCGCCCTCCCCAAGACAGACGGCCACGCGTCGGAACAAACTGCGCGGCGATATGAGATTGCACAAACGCGTTAGAGCCAGAACAACGCCTCCTAACAGGGGTTATGTATGTCGACCCCAATCCCAGGCCCCGTGAGGTTCTCGAATGGTCGAAAAGATTGGGACCAATCCTGGGATACAGAATTGGGCGCCCATCCTCGATAGGGGTGCGTCCGAATAGCCCCCTTGGGGTGCATCCCAAGGTTTTTCTCTTGTTCTGAGCGGCTTCATTTGTCGTCGAGAAGTCGGGGAGGGGGGGGAGAAAAATTGCCTGCGACCTTCTTCCCCGGACATCCGGCCGCTCCAATGTTTTTGATTCGTGGGCCCCAGAGGTACAGACCACTTCCCCTGGGCCGGCTTCTCGTCCTGAATCGTTTTCAAACGCTCCCGAGGCCTGGCGAGGGCCCCCGAAAACTGCCCAAAATTCCGCCGCTCCAGTCTTTCTAGAGCGTGGGATCTCTGGGTCTGCCCCCTTCTCTGAAGGGGCCCTGGAACACACAAATAAACAGACACAAATAACAGGAATCTCAATATTTTCCTGTATTTTCTGGGCTTCCCATATTTCTTCCCCCCACTTCCCATACTTTCCTATGCTTGCTGGGGAATCGACGATTAAGTGTGTCTGTCTGTTTTTGTCCCTCCTGACTTCTCCCCCCCCTCCCCTTCCCTCCCCCCCCCCCGAGGCTTGAGTCGGGCCTGTCCCCCTACAGGCCGATTCTGGACGAAGAATTAAACATACCCCAGGAATGCCCTAAAAATGCTTTTAAAAAATTATCAAAACATAGCCCCCTAGTTGTTTTTTGGCTATTTTCGAATACTCCCCCCTGGAGAGGGATGGGCCGGACTTCACCCGAGGCGCGGGGCAGGGCAGGGGAGGGCAGCCGGCGGCTGCTGGCAGAGGACGCGGCGAGGGGCCGCAGGACCCCTCCGGGGGGGGCAGCAGGGCACGGGCACGCCGGGGGGCACGTGGCCGACTCCTGAAGCATCACTGCAGTAGGCCTCCTCCGCCTCCTCCCCCTCCTCCTCGCCCTCCTCCTCGCCCTCCTCCTCGCCCTCCTCCTCGCCCCCCTCCTCCTCGCCCTCCTCCTCGCCCTCCTCCTCCTCCTCCTCGCCCTGCTCCTCCTCCTCCTCCTCCTCCTCCTCCTCCTCCTCCTCCTCCTCCTCCTCCTCCTCCTCCTCCTCCTCCTCGCCCTCCTCCCTCCTCCTCCTCCTCCTCCTCCTCCTTGCCCTCCTCCTCCTCCTCCTCCTCCTCCTCCTCCTCCTCCTCCTCCTCCTCCTCCTCCTCCTCCTCCCGGAGCGCCGCCATGAGGCTCTCAGATCCCGGACGAGCGGGGGCCCGACCACAAGAAACCTTCCACAAGGCACCCAACCCTGAGACCCCACGGCGTCCCTTGATTTTTTGGTGTGGGAACGTCACGCCTTCCATGGCCAACAAAAGAGTCGAAACCCAAGAAACAAAGGGCACCCCGGAGGCAAGCAGGGTGTTTCTTGGCATTGGCCCCCCACTGTAGACCAGGACGAAGAGAAAATCGTGTGAGGATACATCGAGAATCTCCGAGACCCCGCGGCATAGGAGGATGTCTCGGGCGCCGCGGCCTCCTCAGAGCGTTCCCCAGAACGCTCCGAGAGCGCTCCGGAACGCTCTGGAACGAACTCCTTCTCGTCCTGGCCCCGTCCGAAGAGGGCCGAACTGCGACGACTCACTTCTTAGCCCCCGCCGGCCTCCGCTGGCCTTCCGCCAGCCTTCCGCCGTGAGCGAGACGCGAGGACCCAAAAGGCCCTTTCTGGCACGCGCCGCCCGGTGGACGAGGCCAGCGATGGAGGGGAGGGGCGAGGATGGCCCCCACTGCTGCTCTCCAGGGTGAGCCTGCGCAGCAGCGGTCGCGACCGCCTCGGCCACACTGCGGGCAAGATTCATGTCTATAATCAGTGCCTCTTGGACTTTTTTGGAAGCGGCGCCACAAGGCCGGCGCGGCTTCCAGGAGCCGCTCCGGGGGCCAGATCCAGGCGCACAGCCCGCTGCTGCCGCCTCGCCGCGGGTCTCGGCGAGCGTCTCGGGGATCGGGAGCGGCCCCGTTGGGCCCGCAACCAGAGGCTCGGGAGCGGCCGAGAGGGGGGCGTCCAAGAGGGGGGGCACAACTCATGGCCGGCGGCACGTGCGCGGCCCAGGGTAGGGGCAGGAACAGGATGGAGCACGAAGAGGAGCCATGAAGCATGAGAACATGTCATGGCCCTCGCCATGATACCACCCCCCCCCAGTCATCATCCCCCCCCTTGCCGCCGCCCCCGAGCCGCTCCTACGTGTAGTCGACTGCAGGAGCAGAAAGGAAAGGGCCGGTATCGGACGGGCGACCAGCCCCGGGCCTGCGCTCAGAGGGCCCACGCCGCAACGAGCAGCGGCCCCGCCACCGCGGCGGTCGGGGCGGCCGCTCCGTACGCGGAGTTGACGTCCACGCTGAGCGGAAGCTGCAGGAACTCTCCACACGTCAGCGGTGCGGTCGGCTGCGGAGTCGGCGCAAGGGTGGGGGCAGGTGTGGGATGCGGCGTCGGCGAGGGGGTTGGCGCTGCGGTCCAGGTCGGTGCCGCAGGGGGGAGAAGAGGTGGTGGACATGGAAGTGGAGGAGAGGGAGGAGCGGGTGGAGGCAGACGTGGAGATGGAGGTGGGGAGAGGACAAACAGGAGGGAACGACAGCGCCCGCGTCGGTGCTGCAGTCGGGGCTGCCGTCGGCGCTGGCGTCGGCGACGAGGTCGGCGCCTGCGTCGGGGACAGAGTCGGCGGCGATGGCGTCGGCGACGTGGTCGGCGGCGCTGGTGTCGGCGACGAGGTCGGCAGCGGCGTCGGGGACGAAGTCGGCGGCACGGGCGTCGGTGCTGCAGTCGGGACCTCGGTCGGCGCCAGCGTCGGTGACGCAGTCGGCACTGGCGTCGGGGACGGGGTCGGCTCGGCGGTGGGCACGGGCGTCGGGGACGGGGTCGGTGCCGCGGTCGGCGCTGGCGTCGGGGACGAAGTCGGTACGGCGGTGGGCACTGGCGTCGGTGCAGAAGTCGGCGCTGGCGTCGGGGACAAAGTCGGCGGCGCTGGCGTCGGCGACGAGGTCGGCGGCGCTGGCGTCGGAGCTGCAGTCGGAACCGCAGTAGGAGGAGAAGGAGGAGGAGGTAGGAAGAAGAGGTGGTGGACATGGAAGTGGAGGAGAGGGAGGAGCGGGTGGAGGCAGACGTGGAGATGGAGGTGGGGAGAGGACAAACAGGAGAGAGAGAGAGAGAGACAGCGCCCGCGTCGGTGCTGCAGTCGGGGCTGCCGTCGGCGCTGGCGTCGGCGACGAGGTCGGCGCCTGCGTCGGGGACAGAGTCGGCGGCGATGGCGTCGGCGACGTGGTCGGCGGCGCTGGTGTCGGCGACGAGGTCGGCAGCGGCGTCGGGGACGAAGTCGGCGGCACGGGCGTCGGTGCTGCAGTCGGGACCTCGGTCGGCGCCAGCGTCGGTGACGCAGTCGGCACTGGCGTCGGGGACGGGGTCGGCTCGGCGGTGGGCACGGGCGTCGGGGACGGGGTCGGTGCCGCGGTCGGCGCTGGCGTCGGTGCAGAGGTCGGCGGCGCCGGCGTCGGCGACGCGGTTGGCGGCGCTGGCGTCGGTGACGAGGTTGGCAACGGCGTCGGCGCTGCCGTGGGCACCACCTCCTGCGGAGGCCCTCCCAAATGGGGCCACAGCAGATGGGGCAAGAGGATCGCACCGCATCGCCGATGCATCGGCGAGGCGTCGGCGGAACTGGGGCTCTGGACCGCTCCGCATCGGCGACGCGGCGCGATCCTCCGACCGCAGCGGCCGAAATTTCACGAGCGGCGACCTTATCCACATCCACGCCCTCGGGGTCTGGACTGCGGGACGCGATCCCGTGGAAGCCTGGTCGTATGGGTAAGTTCCGCGCTGGGCATCCGCGAAAGCACAGCTCGCATACCTTTAAGTCGCAGCCCAGAGGCCTGGCCATCGAGACCTCGAATATGGATATGTCCCCCGCAGACGACATGTGGGCGGCTGGGGTCCTCGCAGCACGAGGCGATTGAGCACGGATAGGGGAAAGGGCCATCGCACACCGTGTCAAGCGCCTTCGAAGGGGACCAACTCAGGGGGGGAAGCATCGCCATGGGATCGGCGATGCGTCGCCGCGGGATTGGCGGTGGGCCCCCGATAGCGAACCCGCACGCGCCTGGGCGGGGTGGGCTTGGAGGCCCTGTCGGCGATGAGTGGGCGAGTGGGTGGCCACGCATCCCCCCCTTAGCCTGCGGCCAGGAACTTTTGCATGGCGTGTCGCGGCGGCGGCCCCAGCGGCACGCTATGCCCTACAATCGGATCGGATGGCGTGTCGCTCCGCCCCGCGGGGCTGGAGGCTCGGAAAAGCTAGTGCTGGGGGACCGGGAAGTGGATATAGAGTGTCGCGCCGAAGCGCGGTGGGCCAGAACCGGCGGCGCGACACGCTAACCAAAAATTCCTGACCGCATCCACCCCTGCCCATCGGTCGGAAGAAGCAGATAGAACCATGAAGAAGGAAGGCGGTGAAAGCAGATCGGGCTTCCGCCCGCCTAAACGAAGAGGACGGGCACGGTGAAGCCACCCGATCATTGATGCAGGAGGGCGCTAAGAGTATACTGGAATCCGGATCTCAGAAAATACCTGCTTCCAACGACCGATGGGCAGCGATGCCCCTGAGCCTTGGCCACGAATCCGGGCGGGCACGCGTACTGGCCCATGGCCCCCAAGCTCAGAGCCAAGAGCGCGGCGGCGCGGCACGGTGTGCGAGCCATCGTGCCGGGGGCCGGCCGGCGGGGCACTGCGCGCGGGCACGGGCCCAGGCCGAGGCCCCCATCACAGCCCCCCTCGCATGGTTTCGAGGACCTCGAGCCAAAATGGCTGGAGAGGGGTCGGCCCAGGCAGGCCTTGCCCGAAAGTCTTCTCACCTGCCCCAGCGCGCGTCGGGGTGGTGGCGAGAACGACGGCAACGAGGAGAGGTGCGTACTACTGCTTCTCCCCGTTATCCTCCTTCACTGCGGACGCCACGGCTGCTCCCGCCTGCCACAGGACGACGTCGACGACGGCGACGAATTGCTGGAGCATCAGCTGCGGCAGCTGGCAGCAGGGAAGGGCGTGCAAGGATCAGCCGCGGGGAGGAGGGCGGGAGGCGAGCGAGCAACGACAGCGTGTGGTGACTGTTAGGATGTGGTGGCCGTGTTGGTGCTGGCTGGTGGTGGCGGCGGGTGCTGGGGGTGATGGTGACTGGCTGCTGGGTGGTGGTGGTGGTGGTGCTGGGTGCGGATGACTGTGCTGGAGGTGGTGGTGACGGGTGCTGCTGGTGCTGGGGGTGTTCGCGGTGGTGGCGGTGGCGGCCTGCTGGTGGTGCTGCGTGTTGGCGGTGGGGTGGTGGTGGTGCTGCTGCTGCTGGTAATGGGTGTAAGGTAGGTATTCGGATGCTTCCGTCTGGGTGGGCGGGCCTGCGCGCTCTTATATAAGCATGTTTCACCTACGTCTGAACATTTTTTTCGTCAGCGGCGAGGCGGCGAACTCCGCTCCAGCGAGAAGCAGCTGAATAGGGGCACTAACTAGCGAATTGGCGAGCGAGCAAAGAGGGGGGGGGAACGCCGACAGGAAGAAGGGACGCTCGGATGCCGAAGAATTCGACGATGAGCAGCCGGGGGGGCAGCAGCAGCCAGGCCCTCTGCATACCGGACGGCCCGCCCTGCACAACTTGTTTGCTTCAGGGCGTGACGAGAAAAACGCTCTGGGCCGATCGCTTTTCGTCAAGATCAATGTGAGAGTTACTTTCCCTGGGTGCTGCACAGGTGATCCGCGTAGCCGCTAGGGCTAGACCCTGCCATGGCTGACGCTCGGCTTCCACCCCCTCTCTGGGAGCCGTAGACTGTTCACTTCATGTGTGTTACACAGATTCTGACTATACTGCCAGGCTGGCCTCCTCCTCCTCCATCTCCTCCTCGTCGTCCTCCTCCCCCTCCTCCTCTGGGAGGGCAGGCGGTCCACTACACATGCATGTTGCAAGGATTGCGATCGCCCCAGAGGATGAATGAGAGAGGAGAAAGAAGAGGAGGAGGAAGAAGGAGGAGGAGGAGGAGGGAGGAGTGTGCAGGGAGGAGGACGGAGGAGGGAGAAGGGATGAGGAAGGAGGAGGGAGGATGGAGAAGGAGAAAGAATGAGGGCGAAGGAGGAGGAGGAGAAGAAAGAGGAAGAAGGATGGAAAACGGAAGAGGGAAGAAAGCAGCACTGGGACGCGCATGGCCGTTTATCATGGCCATTTTCACGGCGAGTCAAAATGCATGCGAAGTTCGCCGAAAGCAAGCTGGCACGCTCGAAATGGGCTTCCGCTGCTGACAACACTGGTTCAACACTGGCAACGCGAAATGCACCAGAAGCGAGCGGGCACGCTCCGAACGGGCTTCCCGCAGAGCGCTGGCAACGCGATACGCGCCAGGAGCGAGCTGGAGCATCGTTTAACGGATCCCTATCCCCACCGGCGTGGCCCGGACCCCACTGGCCGGTTCACCCCCCCAGGATGGGGATATAGGACGTTCCCTTCGGGTTCCAAGGGGTACATCCTGAACTACATGGCGGGGTGGTGGAGATCGGGATGGGCATGGGGATCGGAATCGGTGAAGCGATACTGAGGGCCAGCACGCGCCAGCGCCTCCTTTCCCCGCGCTTCGCGGCCTCCCCAAAGCACCCGGGCCCCCAGTGCATCGAAAGCGAGCTGGAACGCTCCAGCGCCTCCGTGGCGACCCTCCCGAGGGCGGGGTGGAAAGGACAGTCGAGGTAGACAGAGCAAAGCGTCCGAAAAGGAAGGACAACAAGCGTACCGATTGGACCCAGGCACCTGGAGGGAGCAACAAAGCGTTCAGGGAGGGAAGGGGAAGCGTTGAGGGCTAAAAGGAAGCGTCGAGGTGGAGAAACAAAGAACCCGTCCGATGATGGATCGAAGCAGGAGCAACAACAGCATTAGCAACAACAACAACAACAACAACAACAGCAGCAGCAACAACAACGACAACAGTAACAACAATAATAAACACAACAACAACAACAACAACAACAACAACAACAACAACAACAACAACAACAACAACAATAAGCTTACCCTCGTGCGCGCTGTTTCCACACGAAGCATGCGACCATCATGATAACCATCCACGTAATGGGGGACTCTTGTTCTATAGCGGGGTACGTTATTCCCATTCCCAAATATCCCTCCCAATGAGGTCTTGCAAACACCTCCTCCGAGGAATTTCAACAGATCCCGCCTCGAAAACACATGCCCTCGCCTTGCTGCGCCGATGCGAGACCGCCAGTGGAACCCCAGCCAAGGGTAAAGCACAAGGAAGTATCGAACGACAGGATTGCCCTGGTGGGGATGGGGGCCGTCGGCGGTGAGGCAAGGACCTGGCCCTGAATAGAAAGGGAGGAAGTCTAGAGCAGGGCAGCTGTTGCTGTTGGGAGCAGCGCCAATGCTGAAGAGAGTAGGGCGCTAGCCCAGCGTAAAGCAAAACGAAGTCTCGAGCGGGAACGCTGGTTTTGTTGGGACGGCGGCTTTCGGCGGCGAGGAGGAACACCGCCTTGAGTAAGAAAGGAGGAAGCATCGAACGGGAGCGCTGGTTTTGTCGGGACGGGGGCTGTCGGCGGCGAGGAACAGCACCATCCCGAGGAAAAAGTCTTGCTGCGAGCGGCGCCAATTCAAAAAAGAGTAGGGCGCCAGTCCAGCGTAAAACGGAAGGAAGTCTCGATTGTCTCGGGCGGGAGCGCTGGTTTTGTCGGGGCGGCGGTTTCCAGCGGCGAGGAGGAACACCGCCTTGAGTAAGAAGGGAGGAAGCATCGAGCGGGAGCCGTGGTCTTGTTGGGACGGGGGTTGTCGGTGGCGAGGAACAGCACCGTCTCCAGGAAAAAGTACCGAAATGGGTGTGGGTAACGCATGCGGGCGGTGGCACTGGGGCCTTCGGTGGAGCTCCCTATGGGGCCACGAAACGTGTGAGGTGTGTGCCGAAATGGGTGTGGGTAACGCGTGCGGGCGGTAGCACTGGGGCCTTCGGTGGAGCTCCCTATGGGGCCACGAAGCGCTGTACTGGGTGGGTGAAACGCAAAGAGGAGGGAGGAGGGAGGAGGAGGGAGGAGGAGGAAGGAAAGAAGTAAGGAGGAAGGAGGAGAACGCGGGGATCGTCTCTTCAAAACGAGGACCCAACACCACAGGATGGTTGGGGAAAAAAAGGAAGTCTCGAGCGAGAGCGTTGTTGTTGCTGGGGGCGGCGCCGATGAGAGAAAGAGTAGCGCGCCAGTCCAAGCTGAAAAGGGAGGAAATCTCCACCGGTAGCGCTGGATTTGTTGGGACGGCAACTTTCGGTGGCGAGCACGAGCACCGTGCTGAAGGAAAACAGAGGAAGCCTCGAGCGGGAGCGTTGTTCTTGCTGGGGGCGGCGCCAATTCAAAAGAGAGTAGGGCGCCAGTCCAGCATAAAACGGGAGGAAGTCTCGGGCGGGAGCGCTGGAATTGTCGGGACGGCGGCTTTCGGCGGCGAGGAGGAGCACCGCCTTAAGTAAAACAGGAAGGAAGTCTCGAGCGAGAGCGTTGTTGTTGCTGGGGGCGGCGCCGATGAGAGAAAGAGTAGCGCGCCAGCCCAAGGTAGAACGAAAGAAAGTCTCGAGCGGCAGCGCTGGTTTTGTTGGGACGGCGGTGTTAGGCGGCGAGCAAGAGCACCCGCCCTGATGGAAAAAGGAGAAGTCCCGAGCGGGAGCGCTGCTGTGGCTGGGGGGCCCGTTCTGGCGCCCCCCCCAAACCGCTCGAGCGTGAGCCTCATTTTTTCCATCAAAATGTAGCCGGCGCCGCGGCGAGAGCACCGAAGCGCCTTGGGGGGAGTCCAACCGTCATAAGTGTTCAGTAATTCACATTCAACAACGACGACAACAACCAACCATAATAATTGTTCAGTAATTCGCATTCAACAACAACGACAACAACAATCATTTTAACACTGTTCGCTCTTACTGGCACGCGTGTCTTGCACTCCGTATACCTCAACCCTCGACACCCGCCCACTCCGTATTCGATTGCACCCCCTTCCGGGGGGGGGACCTCTTCCTTGTCGGCCACTGGCTGAAGTGCGGAGAAACCTCGAGCGAGAGCGCCGTTCCTGAGTTCGGGGGCCTCTCTGGCGAGGAGCTCTCGGAATACATCCGATGAAATATCGAACGGGAGCCCTTGTCGCCGTCTCCGGGCCTCCACCAACGTGCCGGACTTACGGGAAAGTCTCACGCGAGAGCGCCGTTCCTGAGTTCGGGTGCCTTCTTGGCCAGGGGTTCTCGGAGTAAATCGTCAGGAAGTATCGAACAGGAGCCCTTGTCGTCGTGGCTGGGCCTCCGCCAACTTATTTGAATTGCGAGGAAGTCTCGAGCGAGAGCGCCGTTCCTGAGTTCGGGGGCCTCTCTGGCCAGGGTGTCTCGGGGTAAATTGTGAGGAAGTATCGAGCGGGAGCCGTTGTTGTCGTAGCTGAGCCTCCAACGGCCCACATTTAGACTTAAGCCAACGCTCGAGCGGTAACCTCGTTTTCAGAGAAAATGTAGCCGGCGTCGAGGCGAGAGCGCGCGGAGCCGTTTCGGGAGATCTACTATAACAATCAGTAAATAACAACAACAACAACAACAACAACAACAACAACAACAACAACAACAACAACAATCATTTTACCCGAACGCTCAGTGTTCTCACCAGTGCCAGGGTTTTCATGCGACGCGAGACAATACCCCCACTTCGTGGGGGGGCAGTTCAAGCTCTACCAAATATCCAAACGACTCTTCGCGACCACCCAAACCCAGCTTCCCGCCCTATGACGTTGGGACACTTCACTTCGTGGCGTGCGGACGACCGTG